TACGTTTTGATTTAAATTCAACAGTATAAATTCGCATAAAAAATATGTTCGAATTAAAATGTGCCACAAAAAAATATTCTGTATCAGAACTCAAAAAATTTAAATTTTTTTCTATTGTCATACGGATATATTTTTTATTATTAAATTAAAAAATATCATCGTTTTGCATGTTTAAAACTTTATCTATGACTTCATCAAAAGATTTTGGATATATAAAAAAATTTTCTCGCCTTGGCATTGTACATTGGCTTTTTGGACAGTAGAAATATTCTTGTGCACAATATCTGTACTTTAATTTGTCAATAATAATTATTTTCGTATAATTTTGATTGGTTGAGATGAAGTTAAATCGTTAGCTTTTCGTTTGAAATTATTGCTTCGCTCAGAATCTTCAATTAAATTATTTTATTTGTTGTATCTAATATATTTTTTTGTGCTGCCACAGTAAAAAAAGTTTCATTATTTCCGTGCCTATTAGGCTTTAGATATTTTATCTCAACTTAGAATGATCGTTCGTATAAAATGATTTATAATTTAATTCAAATTTAATACATCAAATATAATTTATAGTGACCTATTTAAAGACAAGGCACACATTTAACACATTTTGTAAAAATATAATTACTCTTTTACATTTGAATATATCATAATCTTTATTCCATGAATTCATATTATTAAATACATATTATTTACTTTTTCCTATATATTTTTACCTATATACCTCAGGTATACTACACAATAAAGACATGTGTATATATTGTAGTATCTCCAACAAAATACGAATTTTAAATTTTGTTACTATAATATAATAATTTATTAATATCATTCATCGCAAAACCACCACATCCCTTAAGTACTATCGATGAATGGCATTTTTAGCGTAGTTTAATTATATAAGTTTTATTTTATGTAAATTCATTATATATTAAATACTTAGCAATAATAAATATACGTCATGTAGTTCAATAGTTCATTATAATTTATAACATCGTAGCAAAAACACTCAGTAAAATACTTTATAAAAATTAAAATAAATTTCATACGCGTTAATCATTAATAAATTTTGCCTAACAATAATTATGTAAAATATCATGAAGTTTTAAATTAGAAATTTCAAATTTTGTTTCAAAAATCAACTAAAGCACTACGAAATTGCTCAAATTTCTTTCTGCTTTATGAATATTCGTATTATATTGCATGTCATTTTGAACGTACCAGCGATAGACTAGCGATACAAATTATATAAATGAAATAAACGAGTGCTATAGTGACTCCTAATTATTAAAAATATTTTTGTTAAAAATCAAAAAACAATTCTTTAAGACATTGACAAGAAATCACGTGCTTGTATTACTTAATATTATTAGTTTGTTGTATAATACAATTATGGCTATGTCACATTATTATGCCTGACTTATAATACGGTACAATATAAAATAAATATGAAATGTAATGTAATAGAGATATTCTTATTGTCCTATATGTGAATTTGAAAGACAAATGTTCTAATAAATTATACTCGTTCTTGAGTAAATATAAAAAAAAAGTCAGAATATAAATCAAAAAAATACATAAATCTCTTTAAACCTAATGTCTCTAATAAATCAATCTCTACCTAGAATATGTTTTTAGTTTATCATTGTAATAAGATGTAATACATTTAGAGGATATTATATTATGTCCGTTTGTTAAAAATCATTTTATGAAGGTAAACATACCTTATATAGTTTCGTAGTAAATAAATCAAATTTTCCTCATAAAAAGTTAAGAACACTGGCTACGAATTATAATGCAATATGCTAAAATAGGCCTTGATGAGTCCAATTTTAAATTTTTATAAACTATTATATTGATTTATAGTATATAATACAATACATTACTTAATAATTATTATTATAATATATTCATACTGGTTTTACAATGATGTGTTTATCATCACATTTGTCATTACGTTTGGCTATAGAAAAACATTTTCATTCTTTAACATTTAGGGTATAGTTTCTTAGAGTAACTTAGGTCTACAAAAGGAGAAAACTCCAATTTACATTTTAAATAATTGAGCAAAATGAAAAAAATTAGTAAAACGAGAATATCTACGTTAGTTTCCGAAAAAATTGATTTAATTTTTACGTATTTTCATTCATAAACAGAATGACTGCTGGATTTGAAATGTTTAAGAAACATTTATATTTTTTCCTTTTTGTATACAATTTAAAATGTTTAAAACATTTTGATTCAATTTTTTATGTACATTGATAATATTTTTCTTTTCTAAGATCAAAAATCTTAAAAATATTATAGAATGAGGAACATTAAGATATTTTGACAGCAGTTAAAAAATATTGAAAATTTATCGCCATATTTTTTTTTTTTTTTATAGATATATTAATTTTAAATCTCAATAAAATTGATCATTTGAGGGAAAATAACGATATTGCTTCTAATGATTTTAGTTATTTTGTTGTAGGTAATTTAAAAAATATTTTTTGTAGCCTGTAGGGTCTTGATTATTTTTACCATCTATCTAGTTTCTGAAATTTTCAAAATATTTAGATTCAATTTAAACTATACATATATTATAAGAGATGATTTTATTTAAACTATTTCAACGTAGGTACATAATTACTTTTCGAATACAATGTATGTATCGTTGTATCCGAATTATCATTATTCATTAACATCCATTATAGTGACATACTCATTAAAAAAGTACAATCGAAGTCAAGTATACTGCAGAGCAAGTTCTCATATTTTTTAATTTTAATTATTTGTATAATTTTATTAAAATTATTATTTATGAAAAATATATTTTCACAAGTTTTTACTATTATAGACGTTTTAAAATCTCAAAATGTATACTTTTTTTTTTATAACTCTTTAAAAGTTCAAATTTTTACAGAAATAAATTTATTTGTAAAATATAATGATCTTAATTATATATTATTTTGTTATACTTAATTTAAAACATATTATTCGTAGGAACTTTAAACTTTTCATCAATAAATATTACCAGGTGATATTTTTATTTATGTATTTATTTATTGTTTATCAATAAAATGTTCAAGACAAATATTTATATGGACTTTAAGCTATTTATACCACAAGTCCACAAACTTATTACCATCATTCTATTCTTCTAAGTTGTATTAGTATTGACTAATAAATTGATAATAGCTAGTAATATTATATTATTTAATTTTTTTTGGAAAAAATATGTTCAATGTAGCGTATAAATAGAAAAATTAATTACATTATAGCAATTAAAATTTATTCTAATATTATCATTAAAATTTTAATTATTATTATTTAGCTAAAGAGTTTCTATATTTAACGCGTAAATCTCAGAACCTATTTGGCAATTTAAATTCTTTCAATCCCAACAAGTTTTTATAGGATGGTTCACACATGAATTTTATTTTGATTTATGTAAATCAAACTTTTTATTTTTATATAATTTTATCATTGATCAAAAAAAATTAAAAAAATGTATATAGATTATCCGATCGCCATACATTGTTGTGAGATTTTAAAGTAAGATAAAATTATACTTAAATTATTAATAATCGTTATCGAAATATATATACGACAAAATGCAATTATGTTTGTAATTAAAAGACTTAAAATCACTCAATTGATCGATTTTTACGATAGTTTCAAAGATTTTTTTTAGAAGTACAGTAGACGCCGCTTATAAGACTCACGGATATAAGGTTCAGTCGCTTATTAGACTCAAAATCGTCTGGAACGGTCCGGACGTATCCAAATACATTAAAAAAAAAATCGGTTTTAAGACTCAACACTTCGGTTATAAGACTCAAATTTCGTAAAATAAATAGTAGAAAATAAACTTTTTTGGTTATAATTTAGAAATAAATTGGTTTTGAAAAATGAAATAATATTCGTGTTGATTATTTCTAGTTTCTGTTGGTACCTTATAACGTATAATAATTTTTATCGCAGATAAAAGTTCACATTTATCGCAACGATAATTATAACGATTATAATTTTAGTTTTTTTTTTATCGGGATTATTAAATGTATTCAATAATAAAGTATGTAATATGTAATATGTGTTAATGTACGTATTAAAATCAAAGCAAAATATGTAGTAAAATAAAATTTATAAATACGTAATTAATTTTTTTTTTTCCACTTCGCCTTTAAGATTCATTCGGTTATAAGACTCACTTTATGCTGGTCCCAAAGTGAGTCTTTTAAGCGGCGTCTACTGTACTATGAAAAATTACAGGATAATTATATCAGGTTTTAATCTAATGCCCTACATCAGGATTACATCGACGCTGAATGGGCCCATGAACTAAGATTTACTAAAACCGATACATCGATATAGCGCCATATTTTTTGTATGTTAATTTTTCCTCCGAAGAAGTCAGAACATACACAAATAGTATAATATAATTAAATATTTGCTGGCAGACCATCATCTACGCTTGGTTACGTTGTTCATCGTATATATATATATGTATACAATGATAAATGATGGCTGACGAGGTATACTATCAATCTAATATACGAGTTTAGCAAACTAAATTTCTTGATTTTAGTTTTGTTTTGTTTTTTACTATGTTGTTGTTTACGATGTATTAATTATTAATACAATAACATAAGTTATCACCACAATAATTATAATCGTAGTATGATATTACAACAAGAATATAAATTAAAAACATATATTTTTTATCCAATGATTATTTAAGAATTATGTATAAATAATAATAATAATAATAATAAAAAAAAAAAACTTTGAGTACAAAAATTAACCAGCAGTAGGTACATACGTAATACACATACATATTACTTAATGTTTTTGATAAAATTTCACAATACTTCACTTGCATTCATAATGATTGATGAATAATCAATGTTGTAGTATGAATAAAAGAAAAAACATTACTTTATATATGTATGTATATTATATATATACATATAATATATACTATTAGATACAATAATATGTTATATAATATAGAAATATACGTATATAATATATGGCGTGATTTATTTAACACAAGACACGTCTATTAACGCGTATTACACAGAAGTCTAACGTTTAAAAGAAATCACTACACAGGTAAATACGAATATAATAATATGATAGGTATACTCGTATTATTGCATACTAAATAAAAAATGAAAAGAAGTATAAAAATGATAATAAATATAAAAACAGTATGTAAGCACAGCACAAAGCTACATATAGACTACACGTTACACTCTACTGTAATGAATAATATTACAAATTATAATGCTACATAACGATGAAGACTGCGTGTGGGTGTGTGTGTGTGTGTATGTATGTGGGGTTGCGTCGTTGAGCGCCGACTTCAGTGGACATCGCTGTTGTACACGACGCAGTCAGAACTATGTTAAATTCTTCAACATTCTTCCAACCACCACCATCGACATTTGGTCACTGCGACGAGTTAACCGTTCAACAGGTTCTGGACGGATCTCAATGCAGTGATCGGGATCTACAAAAATATCAACGAAAACAGTCCAAGTGTAATTTTTCTCAGCGGTATAGACACTTAATAAATAGGTATAATAATAACGATAACACGACAATGAGGATATTATTATGTAATGTATGATGATAAAATAATATGAAAATGATGATGATATTACAATTCTAGTGACTAATTGATGCCATCACCATCACCGTATGCGCATTAATGTATTATACGTTTACAGTCTTTATCAATATGATTTTAAACTTATAAAACGAGTCGAGTTTAATTGTTATTATTATTATTATTACAATAATTATTATTAAATGGTTAGAACCAGGTTAGGCGTGTGTGTGTATACACTACTACATCACCACCGTTACACACAACACGTACGTTGAATATTTCATCGTAATTTGTTTTTGTATGTACCATCATCGGAGATCCGGTTTTTCCGTTAACGGAGGCTCCGGCAGACTCGTGTCCGTAATCCGCACCGGCAAAAGCCGCTGCCGGGACTTTGTCAGCACTGCCAGATACAGCGGATGCGGATGCGGAGGCGGCAGCACCGTTGCTACTCGTATGATGTTGGACGTGAACGGCACCTGTACAGCATCGAAAAAGAAACAATTGACAATAATCCTTATTTGATGCATATAATAATGTATCATATCGATCGACATCGATAATTGGACACGCGAGCGTCAATTTATGTATACGCACGCACACACGCTTATACTATATGTATAATATTTATTTGTATGTGTACAAAAACCTACTAATTTATTAATTAATTTATTGTTGCAAATGTATACCTGGTTGTCCTTGATGCATTTGTTTCTGGTTTAAGTACGTATTGACTGACTGCAACACATTGATGGGAATCTAAACATTAAAATAATACACATAAAGCGATTTCTATAAGGTAATAATTATTATACGTATTAAATATTGTATACAGGTGCACGCGCTCGTATAATATATAATGCTATATGCGTATATAAACGTCATGTTATTATGTACGCACAAACTTTTTCTGTTTTAATATACACGCGACATAAACAGTATTAATGAGCGCGTTTATTGCGTTACGCAGTCATCTTATAGGTACCTACGTGCAGATAATTTTAAATAATTTTTAATGCCACTATTTGTATTATGATATCGTATAACTCAGGGCTTACACAATATATGATATATATATATATATATATATATATATATATAGAAAACTTACGGCGAAAATTCTGTCGAAGAAACCGCCTCCGTTACTGCCGGCAACGGCTCCAACTCCTGTGTAATGTGCATCAGGTTTTCCGCTGTTACCGTATCCTCCGACAGCTGGCTTCATTGGCACTCCGGTCGACGCAAAGTCGCTAGCGCCGATGAATCCGACACCGGCTCCGGCTCCAGCACCTCCTGTACCATATCCGGAACTGGCGCCAAGACCGTTTCCGCCGGCGGAAGCTACAACACTACCATCGTCGCCCAGAGCAGCAGACGCTTGGAAACCTCCCCACGATGCAGATACAGAGTCACCATTCTTTTTAATGAATGATCCGGATTGAATGATTTCCTGTAAATGAAAATGTTTCAAATGATATATGACAAACTATAAAATATTAAATAAATAATGACTAACAAATTCTTCATTTATACTATTATGTATTATGCGTATTCCTAAAACATATTTTAATTTTTAAATTATTGTTTTTTTTTTTTTCAAAACGATTTATCTGTATAGATCAATAATCATTTAGAATTGAATTAGTCCAACTTCTTTATGAGGATGTCAGCGTACTGTTTTTTTTCTCTCTCTGGCCCACGCGTAATATAGACAAAACGTCTTTATGCAGAATCATTTTTTTTTTTTGATGTTTTTAATAATTTTTGATTAAAATTACTCATAACAAAATGTAAAGTAAATAATATTTTTGAGTGTATAATACATCGATTTGTCTAAATATTGTCTCAAAACAATTTTAAACATCATTTAATCTATAACTTTTACTTTATTTTGAAAGTTGAGCACTAAGTCAAATAATAATAAAATATAAAGCCAATATGTTAAACCCTCAAAAATATTATTCACTATAATCTTTGTAGTATGTGTTTTTACTCTATAATTATTCAAAAACGTCGAAAAAATGATTCCCTATAAATGCGTTTTGTTTTTGTTACACGTAGGCCAGAGAGAGAAAACAAACATTGCATTGACATTCTCTTAAGTATAAACTACTTGTACATAATATAAAGCCTGCATTTTTATTTATGTAAACAAAAATTGTTTATAATAAATAGGTAATTGTTGAAGACACATTATTGCGTCACCTGCTTTAAAATGTCTCCTAAAAAAATGTGTGGTAATGTTCACGGAATAAAGTGAGTGGATGTAACCGTGAATAAGAAGCACGAGAGACTTTAACGGTCGTTGAGAATTTTGTAACACGCACTGCATATTAGTATATTATTATAATTAATTATGTAGAAATGAGGTTCGCGTCAACGGCCTCAATGTTACACCCTATTAACTTATTTCCACATGTATCTACAACTTATTATAATATTATGGTCGTCATTGTGCAGCTTATAGGTACCTATAATTAGTTATTGGTATACCGATGAATGCGAGTTTCTCAACACTATCAATTGGTAAAATGTGTGATGATTACATGATAAAAACCATACAATACGATTTAGTAACGTCAAGTGTTGTTAAATGTGCACACGTGTGTATATTATATATATATATATATATATATATATATATATATATATATAATTATATACTTTAAAACCAAGTAGATTTACTTGAAAATAACAACGTGTAATATGGGAAATCGAGTTCAATAACGAAGACCGCCACAATAACGTGATTATTATATTATAATAACAATAATATGCGAACCTTGATGAAGAAATTGCTATAAATATAATGTACTTACTCGCTTAAAATGTGTATACATTTTGTGATACGCAAACGAATGATTTAATAATGCAATATTATATGTGTGTATAAATTTAATAATAATTTCGTGGACTAATAAGCATAATTAGCGCAAATCGGCAACCGGAACGATGAGCGATCGTTTGCGGGTATATGAATATTATCTGTACTGTTTATCTGGCCAACGTCCTTGTGCTCAAGTCAGCGGGATAATCTACAAGCCTACGTGTTGTCCACAAGGCCATTGTATATCCATTATGTAACCAGGAGGAGTTCTTGTGTTTGGAGTTCTGAATCACCTCCTCCACCATTTAACCACATTTTAATATTTATGCTAAGTGAAAAATGTAATTTTCCTACAATTATATGCAGGTACGAAATAAAAAATATAATTTTAAAGTCTAGGAAATTTTTTAGTTAAATGCAACTTCATATTATTGTATCATGTTACTATAGTGGTGAGATTAGGGGCTCTATGATGTCGATTAAATAATTAAAGAATTTATATTTAGAAACTGCTAAAAGAAAACACTTTAACACGGTTCGATATTCATACATAGATAATAGTACACGACACACGTCATCGCGTATATACGTGCATATATGTATATTATGTCATATACGTTTGTTATAAAATACGTGTATACCGCGAGATATGTGTCAGCGCAGTTTTCAATTTTCAGTCATGATTTACAATTTTAATCTCGATCGTCAGCCGTCACGTTGAAGTTACGTGCTCAGGCCCATAGATAATATTTTCGTACGTTTATGATTTTCACCATATCTGTCACAATACCTACTAATATACACGTCGCGCGCGTATAATATCAATATTCTATAATTTGCAATATGGCTAGATGTTTTTGTATAACTGCACTGTGCAGTGTACACTTAATTGTGAGTAGTGCACCGAGAGATTATTACATCCTATAGGGTGTGACGGTTACATCCACTTGGCACTAAAACATATAGAAAACTCTAAAGGACACCGAATTAGACTTATCAAGGAATTAGTAGAAGGTATATAAACCAGAAATTCAAAACATTTACCGCCAAGTTTAATTCCAGTTTTCATTTGTTATTATCTTGTATAGAGTATAAGTCGTTAAATAAACTTGTGTGTCGAAAAAATCATCACAACACAAGTGTATTATATTGAGTTAAAAAATATGTATACAAATATGATTAAAACATTACTCACGTTACTCTGTTCAGATTTGTCTGTACTAGGAGCAGCAAGCGCTGCTCCGACAACCACAGCAATGGTCAACATTGTTTTGAAATTATTGGTATGAGACATCTTTGCAAAAGTTGTGAATTTCTGTAGACATCAATAACAAAAATAAAATAAAAATAATCAAAATATTAAATTTATATAATTGAACTTTTATAATTTAAGGATTTTGTACATGTATAATGCATATATTAAAAAAAAAAAAAAAAAAAAAAACGATCGATTAAACTGAATAACAGAATATATTATTATAAGTGTTATTTAAGGATGTTGTACATGTATAATGCATATATTAAAAAAAAACGATCGAAAAATAAACACCAGTACATCCAATTTATCTACCAACGCGCGCGTAACCTAATATTTTATTTCGCGATAAAATTTAAACTGAATAACAGAATATATAGTGTTATGATTTATGCGTGTGTGTGATTTTTGCAAACGTCCAAACTTTTGTAATTCCCTTTAAACCAAAAATCAAAGAAGAGGTATGCAACATTAGCACGCAATTAATAATGTAAAATATCACGATAAAATGCCTCGGACCGTAGCGCGGAGATGTGAGTTTGAATCGAAATAACATGTCGACGACGGACTGTTATGGTAGGTATAGTCGGGAAAACTTACATAGCGTGTGTAATTGTATAAGAAAATCTTTGTAGTTGGCTTGACGCGGAGAGACTATGTGTGTATACGACGGTATAGCGTCGTGTTCAGGAAATTTCTCTCTGGGAAAATAGTATCGGTCGATGTCGCTGCACTACCGCTACTGAACGCCATCGTCGATTCCGATGCACGATGAGGTGTATATAGCATATTCGATGGACGGGACGGCGGCGGCGGGCGGGCGGCTTGTCCGCAATGCATCGTTAGGGACCAGCCACCTTTAGTGGGGACTTGAGAGGGGTGGGGCTCGGCGGTCGGGCGGAATGGGTATGCAAAGCGATCAGACGGCGAGCGCTGTGTTTTTCCGCCGCGGCCAAGGTCAACATTGGCACAAAGCCAGTGGTTTAATCTCGAATCCTCAACCTCGTTATAAAGTCGTAACGCTCATTATTTATTACTTATTTATTTGTACGCACAGCGTTCAGTTCAGGTGAACGTATAATAATATGATTTAATTTTCTACCGTACACCAAACGATAAATATCTAAACAACAATAATAAACACAACAACGTCTCCACTCCGTCGATCGCATTATTCGTATAGGTATAATGTACGTAAAAATGAATATCGTCTTATGGCGCGAAGACGGACGGGGAAGTGAAAAACCGGTGTAAATGCCCCGAGGCGTACAATTCGCAAAAAATTACTTGTCGAGAGTGTGTGCGTGTGTGTTCGCGCGTGCGTACAACGAAACGTGTTATGCGTGCGGTTATACCTATATTATTATACATGCACACGGTGTGTGTACAATAATCGTTTTGGTGTCGGTGGCTCGCGATAATAATAATAATAATATTATTGTCGATAGAGGACAGTGTGACGCGGGGGACGAGGATGACGAATAAAAATGTTGAGGAAACGCGAGCGCACGAATGCAAAACATGTTTTTTTGATGTATTTGAAAAGCTAATTCGAACGAGGAAATCGTTATTACATAATAATATACATCGCTCGTTATGCGTTTCGCGCACACTATACTGCCGATCGGTGTAGGTATCTTTAGCACAATAACACATACCTATAATATTATAACAATACATACCTTGAGATTGCGCCGGTAAAAAACGAAAATTATTATGCCAAACGCGTGGTGTACACAACAGATTATGAATTTAAAAACAAAAACAATAACCGAATGTCACTCTGCTGTGTTGGCCGGTTTTGACTGTTTTAAATGTACCTCTTCGATGAATAATAGGCAATAGAAGTTTGAATCGAATGATATTTATACGCCGAAAAACGATTCTGAACGCGAGACAAAAATGGAACTCTCTCGGTAAAATAAAAGCTTATATGATGAATCTTATATTATATTTTCAATATTTAAGTATTAAATTTAGTAATTTTAAACATTTTTAATAATAAAATAATTTGCATATTTCCGTGATTTTGTTGGGTTTTATAAAAATAATATTAAATAATCTATATGTAATATAAATACAACAAATTGATAACTAAAATTTTATTTATCGTTCAAATAAATAAATTCGTCAACATTTGAACTACAAATATTAAAAAATTAAATAAAATGACTGTAAATGTCATTAATTACGTAACTTTGATGTACACTTTGACTTTTTAATTTTTAATTGATGTAAAAAAAAACTAATGAGGACAATCTTATACCTATTACATTTTCAAGCTTTTTCTCACAAATAAAAATATTATTTTACATAAATATTAAAAGTTGAAAATTTAAAATATCTATGAATAGCCCAAAAGAGACTATATATTTTGAAAATTGTACTTTGTATTCATGTTTAAACAATTTTAATGTAGTTGAATTTTGGCAAATATTTTTAAATTGTGGTTCTTCATTTACAGTGTTGGAAATAGATAATTATTAATTTATCTAGATAAAGATAAAGATAATTACACTAAATTTTATTTAGATAAAGATAAAAATTAATACATTTTTATTTAGATAAATATCAGATCATTTCATTAATTTTGCAAATATTCCGTAATATAAGTATAGGTATTAGGTAAAAAATGTATCATTTAAAACATTTTTAAATATAAACTAAAATAAAATAATTTATTCATTAGCGAATATGCGAAAAATCATTCTCTGATTTAACAATACAATAAAACTTAAATTTCAAAAAACAAAAAAAAGTTAATTTTTGAATAAACTTCATTAGAAGTTAACGAGTTAATCTCTGAGTTATCAAAAAAAAAAAAAAAATTTATTTGAAAAAAATAATATTTTTAAATTATTTATTTTTTTAGCCTATAAAAATAAATTATCTAGATAGGTACTCATAGATAACTAGAATTTTATTTAGATGAATATAAATATAAATGAGTTGATAATTATCTAGATAAGATAAAAGATAAATCAATTCTATCTAGATATTTCCCAACACTGTAATAATTTATTAATCATAAAAAAAAACCATGATTTATTGTCTAAAACGTACATAATATGTTTAAACAATCCCGGTTTTCCGAAGTTTTTATATTTATTTATTGCTTTTAAAAGTATTAAAAATTTAAAAAAAAAAATTAATTTCTCCTAAAATATATGTCAAACTAAAATAACCCACATACGTGCGCAATAGTAAAACCATACGATCATGCTCAGAATCAAAACATCGGGGAAGTTATCGCACCACTATATTTTATTTTTTATAATTTTCAAATGACGTCAATAATAAACATGTCGAATTATTATGTTTTCGTGAATAATTATTCCAATGATGGTAGATGATATAATCGTTTACCTAAAAGGTGTCAATGTCTTCGCTTGTGACAATACTTGTGCCCATGGGAAAATTTCACTTTACCCATTAATGCTTAGCTTTCGGCGTTTCCATTTATATTGAATAGCATTATTAAACACTTTAAATACTTTAGTGCTATGGTCGAATTTAGAATACATTAACCACTTAATGTGAACATCTACTGTGATGAAATACATGTGAAATTCGCAATGGGAAAATACAGGTGTTAATATTGGTTTAATGCAACTTTCTGTACGAGAATTTTATTTATTTAGGTACATAATTTTAATAATACAGTTGTGAACTTAAGACTAAAAATAATTTTAATCGTCATTCGTTGTCTTTCTGCAGGCTGCATTTTGAGCACTGCAATTTGGTTTTACAAACTAACCCGAGAGGGAAAATAATTTATGATGTACCTGACGTACCTACTGGTTATCGTGCGATAATTTTGGCCCTGTCAATAACACGTATAAAATCCTTAACCCTTAAGTTGTTCGGTTACTCGATATCCCTTTAAAACACGAATGTTACAACATAATATTACATAGATAACTAATAATGCAATAATGCAATTATATTGTACAGCAAAATTTGAGTAAAAATAATTTTATAGTATAAAATATATTTTTTAAAGTACGTTAACGTACCTATATAATTTGTCTTAATATCTATAGTAAATATATTGTAAAAATATTTTTATAACACTTTCATTATTCTTTAGCTTTTGATATATTAATTAATAATACCACTTGCAAGTATAATATTATTCAAATTATTTAATTTAACTCCATACTATATATTATAATCAGGTGTTGTGGGCGTTTTGGCTCACAAGCATACTACTCGTAGTTTGGTGTGACAGTACATATGGTATTATAGCAGAAGACTGACTATCTACTATCATTGTTCTCGTACGTATGTGTTCTGTGTGTGTATAAGTTATATGTGGATTCTAAGTACGTATAACATCGTATTATATAGGCATACATATATAAATCTATTTATACATATGCTTGCTGATATGTTTTTGCGGTAGTATGTGCAAAATCCGGTTTATCTGGTACGACGCTATGGAGGTCATCATTATATACTACACGCTCCGCGCCACTGCCATAGGTAGTTATCACCGGGTAAAACCGTGGTAACAAAAAAAAACAGTGAACTATACTACGTCATGGCCGTCACCATAATGTTCTATATAATAATAATAATAATAATAATAATAATAAAATACACTATGTTTATCTTTATTATTTATGTTAGATGCATACAGTGCAGCAATGGAATTGCAGGTTATTAATGCAATTATTCCAACACAACCGTTGAATATTTTTAATCAGAATCGGCACTGCATATGGTCACAACACATTTGAATAGTTTTACGCTAAATACTGCTAATAACTTAAAGGAGTGTATAATGAAAATATAAATATCTTCCGAATGCTGAAAAGAAAATATGTTAATACACAAGATACAATTTACATTATTTTAGAGGTATGAAAGTTAAATATCGTATGTTTATACGGAACCGAATATCCTAGGTTAAGCCCCGAAGTCTAAAGGTGGACTTATTTGGATATGTATCGCGTAGGTAGAGATCATAATAATAAACAATTATATATATTATATATAGGTATTAGCTGTAATTTTTTTTATATTTGTGTATCATTTAATTGAAAAAAAAATCAACTATTTAATTCTACCTTTCATATGTTTTTATACTAAAATGACTATCCCATCAACAACAGGTAACACTATTGATGCCCGTGAGTAAAAGACAATTATATATTGATCGTCCTTCACGACTACACAATTTCGTAGAATATGCTGTGAAAATATTAAATAGATGGTTTGGAGACTTGGAGTAAATATTTAATTGTATAGTAATTTGTTTTTATTCGAATAGTAATAAACACACTGACAACAGTTTCAGTTTTGGTACAATATATTCACACGAGTCAAGGTATTTTATATATTTTTTCCTTTTACATAATTTTTATTTTATTTTTTATAATTTTTCATTTTGTTTTTTTCAAAAATTGTACCTCAATGCAATGCAATTAAATTAAAATATGCTCTGGTAGATAATTTTTTCATAACTTAAATGGGAAATTCAAAATGGTTTCCGAAATTCTTATCGCGGAGTTAAGAATATGAATTACAGTTATCACGTAATTTTGCTTGCAAGCAAAGTTATTCGTGAAAAACTGAGTCACGAGAATTGTACATTATATTAATATCTATATCTGTGTAGTACACAAACCAGATCTGAACCATATTTGACTAGACAACTTACTGTTTATAACAAATAAAAACTTTATGTAAATGACTATAGAAGTAGTTTACACTACGGCCAGTGACGTATTTAGGCCACAGTGTTTT